AATAGTATTTTTATACTTCATATAAAAATCACTTTGCAGGTGAACTATTCAGAGTGCAAGTGCAAATAACTACATTAAATAAAAAATTTTTTTTTATTAGAAATAGTAGGAAAAATCAGAATTAAATGTTTTTATTTTTCTGATACAACATACTTTTAGGAATGTTCTTCTCAAATTTGAAACAATTTCATCCACTAGTTATATTTTTGGAACAAAATATGACAAAAGCGACGTTATCTAATAAAAAAAATTGTAGTCCGGTATTCATTGGGTTAAAAAATTAACAGAAATGATGTCAAAAATGTAGTAAATCCCATAAACAATTGCTGGAGTTTCATATGTATTTTTATAGAAAATTAGTGATTTCATCCAATTTTTGTTTTACTTAGTTATTTACACCTGTTGTGATAGAGTAAAACATAAAGTTATACATTATGATAGAATATGTAGATATCACCGGTAGAAAAAGTTACATAAATAAATTAGCAGTTTGATGTTTAATAAAACTTGTATGCTGTTTGATCAGTATTAGTTTCATTATACAGTTGTAGAAGGTGTAATAGAATCTGCAAAGTTGCAGTAACTACCAATTTTAGCCCTAAAAAAAATCATTCCCTTTTAAAACATGTTATGGTTTATGATTTGAATTGTTACTGTATTTCTAAACCAAATGAAAGTTTTTGTCAGAAATGAAAATGATCTGAAATATTGAAATTATCTGAGAATCTCTTTTTGTGCATGGCCTGTTCCAATGTTTTTAATTCTTATCACATTAACCTTAATCTTGCTCTGAAAATAAGAGCAGAACATTTCTTACAGTTATTAGATCTTTCCTATGGTGAGTGAAATCATAAATTAAAATTTTTGTTTAGATATTTTTTCTGCATCTCTGATACAGAAGCTTTATTATTGTGTTTGTGAATGTGGAAAATCTTTTTATGAAAATGCATATACATGTGTATGTACTTTAAAAAAGTTAATATTGGATATACAAACATAACATACTTGATTAATGATGTTTTCTGCTGTTTCTAGACTGCTTCTTGTATGAATTCATTGGGCAATTGGCTGATTAGTGAGATGAAATTTTAATTGTGATTTTGTTTTATATAATTTTTGATTATAGAAAAATTTGATATTTTATTTTATGTTTAGGACTGGGGTAGGCCTAATAGTTAGCATGCTGTCCATGGTTCACATCCAATTGCTGTAAAAATGGGCTACATACTGGGGAAATAAGTACATTATAAAAGTGACAGTCAGATTCTGATATTTGATTACAGTAACCCAAAACTAGTAGTGGGTGCCTTCCCTTTGATATACCCATTCCAAATTAGGGTTAGCTACAGCAGACAGCCCTTATTTATCTTTGTTATTTTTAATTAAACAAACAATCATCATCTTGAATTGTTTTTTTATTACATAAAAATGTTTATTCTCTATGTTAAAGATCTTGGTAATGAATGTCACTTTGGACCAAATATAACCAACATATTTTATTAAAACTTCAATCCTGTTTGCTAAAGTGAGGAAATATCAAAGAGGACCTTGTTATATGTTATGTGTATGTTGCATCAGAACTTATGAAAGTATTATTTTTCTAATGTAACAATGATAGGTCAAGATATCTTCAAAGAAACTATGTAGGATATAGTTCAAAATTAGGGTTGGCCAGCACAGATAGCTCTTGTGTAGCTTTGAGCAAGTATCCAAAACAAAAAAATCTTATTATGTACAACCACTAGTTAACATTAAATGAATACAGCAACCAACATTGCATTTTTTATGCTATGTAGGAAATAACTAATAAAGCAGGATCATATTAGAAATTAAAAATATATATTTCAGTTATTATTTACACACACACTTTTAGTACAGGGTCATTTGCATGGCTTAGAAAACTTGTTGCTTGTTAGTTATGCCAACGAAAAAAATTAATAAAGGTTCCTAACTTTTTTTTTACCAGGAATGGACCATATGAGCATAAAGAAATTTGAGATGTCACCAGATGGGAAATATATTGTAATCCATGGTCGATGTGGTAATATTCATCTTATGACAGCAAGGGTTAGTACAGTACTACTACACCACATGGTTATGTTTATTAGATTACAGCTTATTAGTTTATTTTATTTTGTGCAGGGTTTATTTGGTTATGTGCATGTCATGATAATCATATTGATTTTTTAAATTAAAAAATGTATCTTTGCAAAGAAATTTAAGAAGTCTGTGAAGCTGTTCACTCTCTAGACAGTGAGGTGACATTTTAGTTGACTAAAATCTATTTTCAGGTGTACAATAGTATAAGATGATTATGCAATGACTGATAAATGTACCTTTTATATGAGAAACTGTGTTCATGCCTATTTTGAGGAACCTGTTCTTTTATAATAAAAGTTGGTCCTCTATTCTTAAATTCCTAAAAATTATTTTAAAAGGTAGGTGTACTCGTTAAGATACTAGGATAATGTCTGCCAAATTATGCATTCTTGATATTTTATAATAATTAATTTCATTATCCTAGAAAGTAATCAAGATATTTGATAGAAAAAATAACCAAATGTCGAAATTGTTGTAACTTAAAATAATATTTACAATCAAAGGTTTAAATTAATTAAAATGAATACTTTCTTACTGGGATTTCTTAATTAAGACAGATCTTGGATTACTGATTGTTAGATTTTCTGAGTCTGCTTCACTACACTGCTAAATAGCTATGAACTTAATCTTAATTTTTAAATGTTTTTCCAAGATAAAGAATGCATGTAAGATTAACTGTAATTGTTTCAGGCAATGCATTTCATTCTTTTCTTTTATAAAATTTTAGGAATTTGTATATAATAAAGATGACATATATCAACACTAAAGTAATTAATTAATCAAAAATACAATAACAGCAATTTTACACAACCTGTCACTAAACATTAACACTAAAATATATTTTGATTTATTCGTTGTTGGAAAATTCTTACAAGCATTGTGTTTTTTTGTTTATTATTGACATATTTCAAAACATAATGTATTAACTATAAATAGATTGAAGTATAATTTTCAAAAGTTGCAGTATATGTGAAGTACAATATGTTCACTCAAGTGATTAATGATATATACTTTTCCATTATCTATCTGTGCACATCTTGATATTGTACAACAAGATAAATCAAAATCATATATGGCATTACTTGAACAATGTTATAAGCCCACAAAATCAAACTTGTCCTTATTGGTAACTGAGAAAATCTTTTTTTCAAAGTTTCCCACAAAATCAAACTTGT